GATTCGTATACACCACGCTATGACAACGAGGATCGACGAGGCAACGACCGAAGAGGCGGCGGCGGCGGCGACGGCGGATATGGCAGAGACAATTATAGGCCAGGTGGTCGCGATGAGCGTACTCGAAGCCGCGCCGAGCGATTCTAATGTGCTGAAGGGTGAGACGAGCTTGGATGGTTGGGAGAACAAGGCGGCTAAGCACGCGATGGGCAAGGCGATTGGAATCAGGGCGACCGGCATCTTCGGAATGACAGGACAGTGGCCTAAGGGCTACATGCCATCCTCGGATTTCTGAAGAAAATGTGACTGTTTCTGACTGCGCTGAGGATGTCAAGTTACTGTCGTCTTTGCGGGTTGACGGAGATGGGATGGGATGAAGATGGGATTGATGAAAGAGGATATAATTGTTGAGGAGCTCGAAAGGCACTAGGTAGCGTACATACTAACTCGTTAGAGCGCACCCGTTCTTTGCTCTTTCCCGCTGATCAACCCTCTTTCCTCCTGAAATCATCAATATATATCATCACACGATGTAGGCAGTTTGAGATGTTGTTCAGACAATTGTTCATTCTGTGTTCCGCAACCCGGATGTCCGAGATACAGGTTTATGTACATGGAGTAGTGGACTGATTAGTCAGTGGCATATCCACATGTCTGATGTAAGGTCCCGGGCTTACACACGATCTCTCACATATCAAGGATGTGCCGGGCTTTACTAACATCATCGATATTACGTACACACGAGCGTTCCCGAACGAAGCACGGGGCTCGTCCCCAATGAATGATTCCAACATTATATTTTCTGAAGTAAGGTTCTGTATTCTCTACTGCCCATTCAAATGCTTCTGCTCGAGTCCGTCTATATTATATCGTACGTTAATTCTCCTATCGCCCTCGAATAACATTGGGCGTGCTTCTTTTTATTTCACGCATGATTTCTCTGATCCTCGATTTTCGTAGTGTTTTGCTGGTGAAGGTGGAGCGAACTGCGTCTCAATCGCATCAACCTCTTTTATGGGATGAAGCTCGTGGTTCGCTGCGTGTTCGACCACCGACGACTGGTCCATCACATTCTTGGCTTTGTCTGTTTCGTGAGGACTCGTCGCCGGGTAGGTGGATGCATCGCGTCGTTTCTTTACAACGAAGATATCGGCGGCAAGAATAAGGGCAATACTGAAGATCTCTCCGATTACGATACCTGCGATCGCGCCTCCACCGAGCTTTGAAGAGCTGTTGGGTGCCGATGCTGGAGACGAAGATGCCGTCGGCTTCGACGACGACGATCCAGTTAGCGATAAAGATAAGGACGAGGACGTGCTGTTACTTTCGAAAGATCTCGCAATAGCCATAGGGCTGGCGGCGCAGCATTCGTTCGTCTAGCCACAGCACCAAGTCCCCGACGTTGAAGTCCCGTCACGAGTTGTCATTGCCTAGGGACCGCTATCTTTCTGCTCTTCGTTATTTCGGCAAACATATCTCTGGCATCAACAATAGTACTTACATCATCTGTCCATACATCCATGCACTACCCGCTCTCCCAATCTGCTACCGTGCACCCTTCTCGCCAGTGGGTTTTCTGTATTGTCTCGTTCTCGCTTTCTTTGTATCGGTCCATGCACAATCCGTTCGGGAGAAGTTCTTCTCTAGGATAGATGTCGTCTACGAGAATGCTGCCTGGAGGGAGCCTCGAGGTTGATCGCGCAGCATATCGTGTGCAAGAGATCCGAAGTGTCGTTGCTACATAGTGCGCGGTCAAGTTCCGGGGTGACGCTTCCTTTTGACTGGAAGCATTGCGCTTGTCCGAGCGATGAAGTGAGGAGTTGGAGTATCGTGAAGGGCGGCAGGGGCAGCGCCCGGGATGTCTGGAGCTTCGAGCGCATCGTGCAGGAGGCGGTGGTAATATTCAGAGGTCAATCAAGAGACGAACAGGGAGGGCAAGAAGGTTATGAGTAGCGTGACGTAAACGTCACTTCGATTGCGGATCCTTTATTGCAGCTCTTTGTAGCTGACACCCTTGGTGGGCGCAACCGGAGAAGTCATATTTCGAGATTATCGCCAATATCAGCCCAAATCATCTGAGCATGAACAATGGGAATACACATATGGCGGTCAGGTGGACGCTTGGGGGGGAGCGGAAGTAGCGCTCTGATACTTGAGAATACACTGGGTCGACTTTACGTACACAAGGTACGTCTTTCCAACATCCCTATCTCGTCAATCTCGACACTTAACCAACTGGCTACTTGCATGTATTATCTGGACGATCTCCCCAAATACCTTGATGATGCAATTCTAGCAGCGAGTACGCGGAAGGCAGAATGTTTAAACTTCGTTAGCTGAGGGCCCGAAGGTCATGTCGAGCTGTGAGACAGACCCTGCATTCCAGATACCTTTAATTTGAGCTCCTAAAAAGTGTGAAAGAGTATACTTGACTAAGAAGAGTACGCGTTAATTTCGACTTACAGATTAGTAACATGAGTAGGCGAACCGATGCTAGAGAAAACAGCTAAAAAGAAAATGCTACTAGTCCTTAGTAAAATTCTCATACCAATATGTCTGAGATTGCTAGGCTAGAGCACGGGCTCTGCGAGCACTGTTTTACGGTACTTTGACCATTGAATCTCACGGTGAATGTGACATGAACAAACTCTTCTCCACCGCTTCACCCAGCCGAAAGCTTTTCCGCGTTTGATCCGCACCTTCATACCCCGGTACCATTTAATCAACCAACTTCGGCATCCAGCGACATAATGGCACCCAGGAATCTACTCCGCCATATCTTCAAGCATGGCTCGTATACGAAAGCCCGGACTGACGAGTCACCTTTAAAGGCCGATAATCTGCTCCCGAAAGAACCTGGGATAGTAGCGACAGTTACCGCAGTCACATCAGTCGCAACACTCGCAACCGCGGCAATAGTCACGCACAACGCACCTGAAACGCCACCACCACATTCCCCCACACCACCTAGGACGCCCGAGCCGAAGACCGTGGATGTGCTCCCGGAGATCCGCGAAGAATCCAGCCCGGAGAGTGACACCGAAACTGCATCCATCGTCACGGTTCTTGCCGCTAGCGGCACCGACACAGCTTCTCTCACCACAGTATTCGCCGCGCTCAATCTCGACATCAACACTTTCACTACGCGCGACCTGGTTTACGCCAATATCGATGAATCTATAACCGCGATACAAGCGCATCTCGAAACCATCGAAACGATGCTTGCGCTGCTGGATGCGCTCAATGGTTTCAGCGCGACAATCAAGGTGCTGAAGGAGGAGATGCTGGAGAAGAAGCAGATGTGCGAGGACAGGTTGGGGTTTTTGGAGAGCATGGAAGCCGAGGTCACGAAGATGCTGTTTGGAGACGAGATAGAGGTAGCGGAGTAGGGAGGTGAAGTTAAAACGAGCATTTGATTTGGAGAAGTCAAGAGACGCATGTGCGGCAGTGTGGATCGCCTAACGGATGACGTTTCTTGCTGTATGGAACCGACCGGACTACAGCAGTAAGCAAAGTTCTTTTACTCTGATTGATATCAGGGGAAAGACATTTTACCGTTCCTAGCTACCTCCGGCCCTTTCTGGCGTACCTGTTCCACGGCCAAAATATCTGCAGTCTTTTCCAAACAGAATATCGTAGAGTCAATTTGAGGACCCATACAATAACATGTCTATATTCACTACCTCTTGAATCTCATCACGCCCCGGCAATAGGTCATTGAGGGCCTACAGCATGGTTCAAGCGGCGACCTATCGTCGTCCACCATCATTTCGTCGTCGGCACAAGCCGTAAACGTGTTGGTATATTTTGTCTGCTCAGTGCACACTAGTAAACAACTTAGCAAGGTCAAGAGGACTGGCAATAAACTCGCTCTGTTTAACGAGTTCAAAAGGTTGAATGAAGAAGATCCTACCGTATCCTCTGCCCCCGAATCTCGAACGGTTGCAGCTGGTCAAGGAACTCCGACACTCGCAGGTGCGAATGTTGAAGGCAGGTGCTGCCTACAATCAGACGCAGCGGAAGTGAAGACCTCAGTGTAGAGGTAGGAGCAAGTGGCTAGTGCTGTGTATAGCTACCTCATCTCACCCAAAATCAATTGATAACTCTTGAATAAAACTTTGTTACTTCAATAGCAAAGAAGGCCAAAGAAAGAGAACAATCCTGAAGCGTTTGCCCATGCTCAGAGGGTGCTGCAAAGCCTCATCATCTCAAGGCAATTAGCAAGTTTCAAGTGGTACGACAAGTAACGCACAATCCCTAATACGTAGATTTAACAGTTTGTAAAAGTTACTAAATAGGTTGCTTATCTACTGTACTGTAAGTGAGAGTAAAAGAATACTGGCAGGAATAAAGGAGGTAGACGTGAAACGATTGGAAGGAGGCAGGAGTAAAAGGAGGTAGGCAGACAGGCAGGCAGGCAGGCAGGGGGTAGGTAGTAAGTGTTCTCTTTAGTACTCGTCACGTGATGTCTGGCAATCCTAGATAAGCAGCGCCCGTATTTATTGCACTAATCACCGTTGTCGCTTTTTATGTATGCAGCTCGTTATTTATATTTAGCTTACTATGAAAGTATGAAGACTGTAGTCCGCGAACTACAAGGTTACCGCTCGCGGTCCCGAACAAGGTCGCGCTCCCAGAGTGTTGCGACAAGCGCTGGTGACGTCTCCTACGAAGGGGAGGGGGAAGATGCGGCTAAATGAATTCAGAACACTTGAGACAAGAAGCAATCACGCAAGGAAGAGGATGCTGGAGTGCAAGTGGGAAATTCTGGGAAGCGCGGCCGCGGTCACGGACGAACCAGGGCCCTCGTGCCATGACTTCGCCGAGTAAGAGTTTAGGCAGGTTATGAACAGAGAGGGGGAGCTGTCTCAGGTTGGTGATTCGCGAAGTGTCTTTTAGGACATAGAAAAAATAACGCTTGTGTACACCCACATCCCCGCTAGGCACCTTGTAGACGCCCTGTACAAAAGCAAAAAAAGATCAGAAAATTGAACAAAAATTGGACACTGTGGGAATTGAACCCACGACCTTTCACAAACACTGTTTTAGAATGCGAAGCGACTAAAGACATGTTAGAAAGGGAGAATAGCACAGTGATTACTAGTATATACTTACAAATCATACCCCTAGACCAAGTGCCCTTGAACTGTTCGATGAAAAGTGGACAATGTATTGAGATTTATATAGTTAGTTCAATTGATACGGGAGACTGGTGCAGCTGCATGGTGAAGTATGCGAGGATCTTCAAGGTTTATGGGCCGAGCCCCGTAACTATACTCGAATCGTTCAGGTGGGGCCGATGGGTAAGGGTAGTAAAAACGCGCGGATCGGGAAGCACCGCATCAGGAAAGCACGACAGGCGAACTATGGGAGCATCGACGAAACTTAGTCCAAGGCAAAGAACATAGCATCAAGCGAACATTTAACGACAACACAAGTAGATGTGAGACATGTCTAATTCTTATACAAGCATTTATGCGGTAAGTAACTGAGCATCAAACCGAAGCAGAGAAAATACATATCACATCTCAGACAGAGGTGTAATGCAAATGGCATTAATACCTATTCAAATTTACGTAAGGCTGGCCATTTTGCTTATGCCTCATGTCCCATGCTTCGATTCGTTATCATATACACATCTCCCCCTCATGTTCCCTTTCTCCAAACTACCCTAGACCTTCTTGCTAGTAGTCTCCTCCGAGTGCTTAGCAAGCGGGTGCTCTGGGTTTGAGCTCAGTCCATCCTTGGTGTTGTCGGAGCTCTTCTCAGCGCCCTCCTTGGGTGCTCCGCCCTGCTGGTTGACGTTGTCTGAGGTCTGTCCTGACTGCGCCTCGTTCTGGCGCTCGGGCTCGGGGGACTGGCGGCCGGCGTTGGGTGCGGACATTTTGATTTAGGCTGGTGAGGTGGTTTGTGTTGTAACTGTGAGGTTGTGAGTAGGTATTTGGAGTGGAAAAGATGTCGATGATGGGTGGTGGATTAGTTAGGATGGTGGCGTACGTTTTGTTTTTAAGGTTCTTCGTGTTCTACCCGGCCTCAGTTAGCTACGATCCCTATCTTCTGCATCACAAAGACGACGGACCTTGGTATTGGGCTCGTGGTGATTGTAGACGCGTTGATGTTGTCCCGGAAGAAGCTGCCGCGCTGCTCTTTTCAACGCATGCCGAAGCTTCAAGGCCGCCCCACCTGACGTCACACATGCATCGGGCACCATCGACGTCAACCCTCAATCAAACGAACGGGTATTGCCATGCTTAGCAATCCTGCGGTCAATGCTTGCTAACGGGTATTTGAACTGCATAGATGCCCGGTGGCTGTAGTCGTTCAGCATTGGGCTCTACCTATCTCTCATGCCTATCGCCGATCATCCAGCAGAGACCTGGGAGCATGTGACTGAGAACTGCTCTTGGGCGTTGAAAATGCATCATGAAATGCATATATGGATGTATCGTAACATAAAATATCTCAACTCCTTTTCCCCATCTCTACATCCCCATCCCCTCCATCACCATCATCATCCCACTCGCGTCCTTTCAGCCGCTTCCCTACCCACAATCCCAACATAGTCGCTGCACTAGCTGCCAAAAACCAGCCCTCGAACCATCTCTCCGTGAATGCTGGTTCCAGTGGTGCACCTAATGCATCCCCAATCTTGCCCTTCATCTCAGGCGGCAGATTGCTTCGGAGTAACAGTGCAGAGCTGATCACATACGTCGCCGCAATCTGCGAGATGATGAGTGCGAAATTGGTTTTGGTGTGATGGAGAAGGCCAGGGACGACGCGCGCGAAGAGAAAGAAGGTCTGTAGAACGCTGTTGAATGATAGCAAAAGCATGACTCCGGAGAGTAGGAAGGAGATTGTACGACTCCAGGCTACGCGATCGATAGTCGGATCCCAGTGCTTCGCGAGTAGGGCGAGGATATTGTTAATGGGATCGCTACTTGAGAAGCTGGCGTTGGGAGAGGAGAAGCGTCGGAGAGTCGTAACAGTTGTGGCTGCGATGCGGTAGGCGCAGTACACGGCGAAGACGTAGGAGACAATGTTCAGCAGGCGTCCATGTGCAGTATGTGAGCGTAACTGAGACTGTCGCCTGTTTTGGAGGACTGTCAGAGAGTTCTGGAGGGTATGGCGCATAGTCTCGAGACCCTGAATCTCCAGCTGGAGCGTATTTCGTTCTTGAACATCCGGATTCCCCCGGATCGAGCCTACTACGCGACCCATAAAGCCTTGTTGCGGGTTATCAGAAAGCTTTCGGTCCACAGCGCGAAGTCGACTTTCCTTGGCCAGGAGCATGTCGTCCGTCGCCTGTATACCAGCCTGTTTGCGACCAATTTCTGATTCGGTAACCTGCTATGGTCAGTACTGCCTGAATGTATACGCATCCTGGGAGTTCTATGAGCTCACAGAAATGGCTGGACTTACTGGGCGGTATTTGACACCAAAAGTCTGCCACAGCGAGGATATGGCCGCGAACCCAGCCAGGGATGCCATCAGAGAGATGCCGATGATTCCGATCCTTTCCAGACACCCTTCACTAAATGTATGATTATGTACATACGACTCCTCGTGCAAGTACGAGCCAAGCAGGCCTCTCCCGAGATACCAAAAGCCAGCGAGCCATGCTGCCAGCCCGCAAAATCCCAGTACCCATGCTGCCCTGCGCCGGCCTTTCTGTTGGCCGCTCACATTCAGGCCTGTTCCTGAAAGCACCGAATGTATCTCGAAGGCGGGCGTTGCGACGATAAGCAAGAATAGAAGTGACGGAAGCGTGATCTTGAGGGCCAACGTTCGCGTGGCGCGGTTCACGGTGTTCGATATCTCGCAGAGGATGAGCTCGGCGAGCACAGCAGAGAGAGCAAAATTGCTCGAGAAGATGATGCTCGCAAGGGATCGTGCATTTGGCCGCAGGGTCCTGAAGATTGAGGCTCGTTCGCGAGATATTGGGCCAGGTCCATGAGCGTCATGGTGCGCTTTGCGATCCGCGTTGCCCGACAGGATGGGGAACAGCTTATGCGACACCACGAAAGCGACGACGAGGAATGTAAGGATGAAAGGCAGCGCCGATATGGCTATCGTTATCGGGCTGCGGTGGATGGCAAATTCCGGTACGCACTCATCGCAGTCGTCCTCGAAAGGCAGAACCATCGGTATGTTGATGCTTCGCTAGCTGTGGTGATGTGTTCGTTGCTGCCACTTCGTCCTGGTTATGAGTGGCATGTGGGCATCCATCGACTCAGCAGCAGACCGTGAATACGTAGGCGCATTGGGTGTTTGTATTGTGTGGGTGCAGGGTAACGCAGGTGGGGGACCGTTTTCCGAGGCAGGAACGCGCACGCGTGTCGCGGCGCTACAGCCTTGCGAAACGTCATCGCGGCGATCAACCTGGGGCGGAAGGGCATGTCTATATATAAATTGTTTCGTCTCCAACGGTCATATTCATGGATGCTACTACGGCTACGGCATCGTGATAATGAAAACATCCTCTCCAAGGTTTCATATTAGAAACATCGCCTGTAGCCCTCGATCTCCCTTGCACTCCCTTGCACTACCCGCGTCTCAGCACATGGTGGATGGCCTTTCGTATGCCGGGGCGCGCAATCTAAACTGTAGCACGAGAGGTAACACTGCAATCTGCGTTAGGTACCCTCTGAAGCCTTCTGCGCTGCGGACTCGTCTTGAGGCTGCCGTGTCTCCGCATTCGCAAGACTCTCAACATAGGACATCGAGCTCGGTGATTTGGCACCTGCTTCCCCACTGCCGATGCTGAGCCCTTCTGTCCCGCCCACCATGTCGTCCACTCCTGATGGTGTCGTATCCGTGGGCACACCGCCTTCGTCCTCATCGTCGCTGCTGGACTGGTCGCTAAGTTCAGGGCTGTCCAAATTCTGAAGATGCGGAGACTTCATCATGACGCCTGGGCTTCGAAGTTCATCGCCAACCAAGGCGCTGTTTCCAGTTTGTCGATCATCATCGTCGCTATCTTCAGCATGTGCGACCTGTGCCAACGGATGTGCATCCGCAGAGAGCTTGGGTGCTGCAGCTGCGCCTCCGACTGCCGCCGCTTCCTCCTCATTTGCAAAGAAGCTGTTGCGCGGACTGTTGAAGTCAGGGAGATGTTCACTCTTTGCCAGAATTTCTCTGTAGCCCTGCCGGTCTGGATCATTCGCGCGCTTGCTTCTTGCTTTGTCGCGTTTCGATGTGGGGCGAACAACGATGACAGGCACAGGGGAGTGTTGCAGGCAGTACTTCGAGACACTCCCAGGAAGCAAGCCTTGGAATCCACCAAGACTCTTGCCTCTTGTCCCAACCACCAGGATTGCCGGCTCGTATAGATTGATCTGCGGTCTGTCAGCTTTAATACACGTGTTTCCGAGTTGTAAACCCCACCATGTCATCGATAACCTTGTTAACTTTGCCAACTGAGAACTCCAATATAAGGTTAATAGCCTTATTGTCGTGGTTTCGACTTTGTATATCCCTCATGGTAGCATCGGCCTCAGTGCGGTAGCGTCCTGTCTCGACGCTGCGGTCTCCAGCAATTGCATCTTCTTTCTCTACCACTCTGAGACATACGATCTCGTCACCATCGTCGACGAGCTCGTTGATGAGCCACTGTAGCGCGTACACGGAGTACTCGTTTTCGTCGAAGCCGCACAGGAACGTTCGTGATCGCTTGGTGTACTCGTAGTCTTTATGCTTTGCAATGAGTGTGAATGAGCTCTCCTCGATGAAGTCTGCGGGCTTGTCGAAGGTGTCGAAAGATACGCGGTTTTGGAAGACGCTACATGCAGAAATTAGCGTTTGAATCTCGCACTTCGAGGTGCCTGTGAAGAGCATGAAAAGGCAATCAAGTCAATTGCTCGCTCCGAAATCCACCCGCAACCTGTGAGGCATACTCCGCTATACTTGCTGTTCGTATGTATGCTCGGGACGGAAGGAAGTGGGCTAGATGGCGGCGCAAAGCCGCCATATATACCCTAGAGCCTGCAGGACATGCGCATAGAAAGCAGCACTTACGGTGGAGGCGGTGGTGACGACAGACGGCGCCGCTCGCGGGGCTTCGGGCTCCCTCTAGGTAGCGAAGTATTTCTATGCGCCAGAAACTGTATAGACGGCCGCCGTATTTCGTCCTGGGAGAGCCCGC